TGTGTGTGTGTGTGTGTGTGTGTGTGTGTGTGTGTGTATTTATTTCAAGGAAATGGCTCACATAATTGTGGAGTCTGCAAGTCCCAAATCCATGGGTCAGGTGTCCGGCAGGAGGCTTCTCCTGACTCACGTGGTTGCAGGGTCTGATGAACCCAAAACTGGCAGGGCAGATGGCAGGCTGCTGGTTCATGTCCCAAAAACAGGAGGTCAGAGGATGATGAGTTGCATACAGGATCAAGAGAAGGCAAGCATTACCAGAACTTCCATATGTATTGGATGTAGGCCACATCTCCAAGGAAAGTCCCCTTTCAACTGATTGGCTGCTCACATCAGATCACAAAATGGAGGATGATTACATACCATCTGCCAAACCACTGAGAATCGTGGACTAGCCAGGTTGACCCATAACCTTAACCATCACAAAATGTAACTTAATACCTAAATTCATTTTCTTGTTAAGCTAGAAGCTATGTCATACACACACACACACACACACACACACACACACACACACACGTACGTCTTTATTCTTGGTTTTCTACTGTATTTTAACATTTTAAACATCTGCAGAAAAGTAATAGAATGGACAATAGAATATCACCAGAATTGAAATTATTTCCAGCTATGTTTAAATATGAATGTCTTGTTCGGCTCTTAGCATATGTATTTATGGCTGTGCAATATCATTATGGCATCATAATGAATGTCTGCTGAATTATGTGGGATTCAGTGGGGGATACAAATGGATTTGAATTTTGTAACTGTCATGCTGTGGTCCAAAGAGGGCAGAAACTGAAATATCCCCCCGCATTAACACATCTGTCAAACGTCCTCAATGCTCCACGCGATTGTCTTTTGTTAGAAGTGTGAGGCGGTGAGGCCGGAGAAGGCTATGCATTAAGTACATATCAGGACAGGTGTCAAAAAATAAACACAAGCCATGTCATGGGTCTGCATAACCTGGCGTTTTGGTTGTGCTTTCATCTGGGTTAAGAGAATGTGTATAGCCTCTTTTTCTTCCTTTTCTCATTCTGAATGCCTGACTTTAAATGAAGTGACCAGAATGCCTTATTATTTAGTCTTACTTTATTAGTGAGTGTGCCTATGCATGCAGAGGACAGAGGTGTATGAAGAGAAGGAATGCTCCTGAGTTTGAATCCCGATACCTTCCTTGCTAGCTGTATGCCCTTGAACCCGGTAATTAAATACTTTTAAGCTTCAGATTCCTCATCTTTTGCACGGCAATAATAATAATCTATGCTTTCCAGGGTTCTTGTAAGATGTACATGAAATATATATGTAAAGGGCCTAGCACAGGGTCTGTTAAATAGGAGCTTAAAATGTGATAGGAGTCCCTAGGAGGTTAATGAGCTCGGCTGTTAATGGAAAGGTTGGAGGTTTGAGTCCACCCAGAGGCACCTTGGAAGCAAGGCCTGGTGATCTACTTCCAGAAAGTCAGTCATGAAAAACCCTTGACTAGGAGCACAGTTCTACTCTGATACACACGGGGTCGCCATTAGTCAGAATCGACTCGACAGCAGCTGGGTAACTGGTTGGTTAATGTGTTATACCTGTTGTTGCTATATTGTTCTGTTTATTTTTAGTATCATTAATTTTATCTTTATATTAAAAAACACATAGTTCCCTTAGTAGTAACTTTTCCATTTTGACACATTGGAAACTTGCAATGTCAAGATTAGCAGCACATATGTACTAGGCACCTCGCGTTCATTCATTTAAGAGATATTTACTGAATACCACTGTGTATCAGGCACCCTGCTAGGCCCTGGGAAGCAGTGGTGACCCACAACCTTAAGGCCCTGCCCTCACACATGTCCCTGCCGTCAAGAGGTCTCCATCATGTCGGGACAATGTCTGCTTCCCGGGTAGGGCTTGGTTCACTTTCCCAGGGTGGCAGAAGTGCACATTACCCGTGATTCACTGTGTATCAGCTGACATTGCCACACTTAACCCGGCCACACGAGTGTGCTGTTGGGTACTTGCAGGCACTGTTGTGCACAGCTGTGTGCTTCCACAGTGTAGGAAGAGGTGGCTTCCACCATTCTGGGGGACTGATACGATCTCACTTAACCACTCTTTTCTGAGCTTCATTTCTCACCATTTTCCACCTGGCGTGCCTCTAATTTTTGTTCTGCTGTTTTCTAGTTTAATTTTCTACATTAGATAGGTGTAGACATGGATATAGTCTGTGAAGCTGGGCTGATTGGCTTGACTTTTTAGCTGTGTGGCTGTTGGGCATGTTAAATTTGCTCCCTGACCTCAGCTATTTCATGCGTAAAATAGGGATCATAATACTACTCACTTCACTGAGTTGTAAGGATTAAAAGAGTTTTTTATAAAAATGCTTAGGTAATGCCTAGGACATACAACTAGGTAATGCCTAGGATGCAGTGAGGGCTATATGACTCTTTGCTATTGCTACTATGATTTCTCCTACTCTTTTTTCACCTTATCATTAAGTATATCATTCTGATAATATTTATCTTTAGGGCAGTCATTTTTATCCCCTTTTTTGCTTAGTTCTGCCCTTTCTCCCTCTTTCCCCTCTCCTCACATCAACCTCCTCCATACAGGGTAAAATATGCTGAATAATATGTTTCCTTCTAAAGTTTTATATGTTGATATTATCACAAACACGTGTATATCCTACATATGAACATGTACATAGATACATGTACATATTTAGGGTTTTAGGGTTTTTTCTTTTTTTGTAGTTTTGTTTGGTAAAACATGGAATCATTTTATGTGTACGTCTCTGTATCTTACTTTTCTCATCCAAGCGTAGCATGATATTCCATCATGGGTACATACCATGACTTATACAGTAATTCCTCATACTGAACGTATCACAGGGAGTTCACTTAGTTTCCAGATGCTTCTCCCTGTTGCCCTGGACACAAATTAATGCAATAAGCATCCTTGTTCATATGTCCAGACAGATGCTTTTTATTCCTATGGGATGGATTCCCAGGTGTGGAATTGCTGGGCTAGACTCTAAAATTTTAAAATTGATTTGTATCAATCTCATGGATTGTGTTGAAGAGAGCCAAAACCTTGATAGAAACACTCAACTTAGAGTGAATTTCTAAGGTGTAAAAGTGGATGGTAGTTAAGAACTTACACATTAAAAGGAGTAATTTGACCAGCATATCACAGGATTAATTGATTATAATATCTCAAAGACTTTTGATTCCAACTTTTGAGGATGAATTAACAGGCAAGAACTCCACCATTTATGAACACATTTTGCACACATGTATTAGAAAGTAGCTAGTTTACCTATGCTAGTTTTTGTAGAACAAAAATAGTAATAAGTATCCTCTTGGATGCCAAACACAGATAGTCAGTGGCAGTCAGGATTGTTGGGTGGAAAAGGATGCTGAGGCTGAGTCCAGGCTTGGGAGTCAGGAGGGCCCTAGTTGGCGGTCCAGAGGGCGTCAGTTGGATGTCTGGAGGACCCTGGTTGTATATTAGGAGGGCCGTGGTTGGATATCAGGAGGGCCCTGGTTGGTTAGTGTGTCTGCTATGAAAGTCCGGCTGTGCAGGAAGAGAAGCATGCGCACCACAAATACATGCGTTTGCCAGCCATGTACCTGAGTGATCCCTGAGTGGCACAAATGGTTTGCGCTCGACTGCTTACCTAAAGGCTGGTGGTTCAAACCTAACCAGCAGCACCACTGAAGAAAGGCCTGACAATCTGCTTCTATAAAGATTATAGTCAAGAAAATCCTATGGAGCATTGTTCTACTCTGTAACACATCGGGTCACTGTGAGTAAGAATCAACTTTTTTTTTTTTTGGTACCTAAGTGAACATTTCGCCCCGCAGAGCCCAGCTACAGATAATAGAACACCTGTGATATGGGCTGTCTTTTTAGTCAAGGCCTCTAAAGGTCCAGCATTCCTGAGCTGAGGAGTCTTGCTGGTATCTGATGGACGAGAAATGAATTTACATTTTGCCATGATGTTAACGGCATAAGGAACCAAAAGAGCTTAAAATAAACAATGGTGCTGGAGGAAAGACTGGCTTTGCAGGACAAAGAAGAATGCCTCCAGTTCCCTTCCAGAAACACTCTTCCTTGCTTTTGGAGGAGAACCAAGTAGATTCTGTTTAACTGCACAGTGATAAAATAACTTCCTTGCTTTAAAAATTTGAAAGCTTACCATATTTTTAAGTAACAACGCGCCACATTCTACATACGTTTGCCGACCTTGCCCCCCCACCCCTACGAGGTATTTTGATACTAGTGAAATAAAAGAACACCTGCAAAGGCAGGCATCTTGGTAACACCAGTAGACGAAGTTGGAAACAAAGATGATGAAGTCCATTCCTTTGTTTGGCCAATATTTATTCAGAATTAAATTTGCCTATATTAATACATTTAATTC